AAAATGTGTACGGATGGACCCACAAAAGCGGAGATAATCTAGTTTTTTACCATCCTAAAGTAATTAGTGGTCTATAATTTTAAGATATTTTAAGCGGTCTTAAAAACCGGTTGAAATCCAAACATGATTATTTCCAGTCCTAACGTCATACTTCAAGCCCAGCGTTAAGTTGGTGGTTCAATTTGACTTTTGAGGCAGGTGACCACCGCCTACATCTAAATTTAGGGGTGAAAATGACCAAATCGACTGGGGTCTCCGTGCGTCATATAGTGTTCCCCTTCCCTGGCTCCCTGTTATACTTGGAGGTGGACGAGCAGACTCCCAATTCCTGGGTGAAAAACTAGAAGTATTTGATGCTGGGCCACATCCCAAAATCTCTATATCTCTAGCAAACTTTCAGTGCGTGGCCATCTCTTCTTAAGAGATTCTTGCTGGTCAGATTTTCATAGATTTTCATCGATCATTTGGGCCAATCAGCCAGTACAACCCCTGTGGACTTTGAATGTCGTTGATCCAGCGGTCGGTTTGGTTCACAGCAAACATCCGTTAACATTGGAACATTCACTACCCAAGGATGTCGTATTACGACATGTTCATTGTTTGAGGAAGGCATTTCTTGTTTTGGAAATTTGAGCGCTAATAAGAGCATAAGGTTGTCATAATGGTAGGAATATACTACACATCAAGCTTGGCAAGTCTTGGTGAGTGATTATAAGAGGCAGTTAGGGTTGTCAATCCTTACTGATAAGCATTGGTACCACACCTTATAATTCGCCCCAATTAGCGGCTAACATCTCTTGCGTGCTATTGCCCTGTTTTGGGGATCATTCCTTTAGACTTTCAGACTTTCAGCTTTTTTCAGGACCATGGTACGTGAATTACATGACCATTAGGAGTTAAACCTTCAAGAGGAGCTGGGAAAGAATCAGATACATGTCATTAAAAATGTATAAACATGTGGACCAGCAAAATCTGGACATGACCATGTCTTGGGTGAGGAGTATGGCATGCTCCTAGAGCTGTACCGGGGCCTGCGACAGGACAAGGGGCGAACTAGTCATGGGAATTCATGTGGTAAACCCAATGATAAACCTCCAATTGCGGGGTTAATTGATAGAATTTGTTGATGGTAAAGTTAGAGGCTGGTTCATTATCGGCTTTACGACATTGGGGTTTTGCACAACATTTGATTGGAATTAGACCCCACTAGCCGCTAGCCAGGTATGAGCAGTACGGACAAGTGTGAAGATTGTGAAGTGTTTGACATGATTTCACTAACAGAGACCCAGAACCGGTAGAACACGTGACGTTTGGCTCCGGTGACTTACACTGAATCCACAGGCAGCGATTTTTTGTCGACATGGGGGATCCCCAGCGCACTGCGCACCATGGGATCTTCGCCTCTGCCAGAGAATTACATAACTTTTTTGTGTGGCAAAAAAGATGCAATGGCCTCAAACGACCTCACTATGACTGATGAAAAAAAAAGGAAGAAGTTTCAGGCAGTTTACTAGTTTATTGCACTGCTTTAGCTAGACAGGCCGCATCACACGTATTGAATATGCTTCTGCATCTTGTCTTGGGGTGCTATACCCTCTGTTAATTGAGCAGTTTGCTATGGAAGCCACGGCCCATATACCGATGATTTACCTTTTTCAAAATGGTAACTTTCCAGTTCTCAGGCACCTTTTTTTCCAGAGGGTAAATCCTCAATTATTGGGTCTTCATCCACCATGTCTGCTTGCGAAGAATTTCCCCTTGACTAGAAGAGCTGTGGAACATCACCTTGGCTTCGAACTAGCTATGCACCATGGCTTCCATAGCTATCATATAGCTATCATATAGCTATCCCAAAGTGCCACCAGGACCTGAAGCGCACCCTGCGTTTGGTTCCCGACTTTAACACCGACGAGCTCCGAGGCAGAAGGAATCCTCAGGATGTGGCCAGATGCTGGAAATCCTGACAATTCATCCTAACATAGCTATTGAAAATGGCCATAGAAATAGTGGATTTTCCCATTAATAGCATGGGTGGATCTTTCCAGTTCGCTATGTTAATTTACCAGAGGGTATAGTTGATGTTCCCACTAGAAGGGGAGTTTTATTGTGTTGTGCTTGATTGCCAGAGGGTAAGTACAACAGACACAAACAGCAAGAAATATGTCATAGCTTTCAACCTAGTTGCAGGTATGATCACCGGTCAACTACCATGGCCCATCTAAGCAGGGTTAGATTCTTCATGGCTTTATCCGCGTTGAAAACCCTAGTTACTATAGATAGAGTGGGTCACTTTAGATACTTCATGATGGCTTTCTCCTAGCTAGTTACCCTTGCTTGGATGTGCATCCATCGTATCCATGCTTCATAATCCATATAATCATCATTAATCTAACCCATATTTCATCCCATACACATTTGGGATCAATAGGGATCTGGTTGGTGGTTTGGGACATTTGGATTATTTTTCCCATCATATTGGGAATAATCATAATAATCCCAACTGACGAGTTGTCCATCATTTTTCAGAGGGGTAGGTCAACCACCAACCAGTCATTACTATTAACCATCATTAACCAAATAATAACCATGGTATTAACCAGTATTAACAGTATATTAACCATCATTAATGATCCCATCATTATGGGGTAGGTCAACCACCAACCAGGGATATTCTATGCCATCCCTGGGCGGGCCCGCTGCCAGGTGCCTTGCAAAATGTGATGATTTTAGACTCGGAGGAGCGGAGCTTGGTGTCAGGAAGCCCAAAAAAAAGCCGAGCGGCGAAACGTGGGGAAGTTCACACAGGCGATGGGGAACATCTATAGTAAAACATCGTGAAAAACCGTGGAGATTTGGGAAAACACTCAAGATTTGATTGATTTCGGTTTAGAAATGAGGCATTTATCCATATTTATCCAAGAAAACATTGGGATCTACTGGGATTTGGATGGAAAAATGGCTCTGAAAGTGGAGGATTCCATCCAGTTCTGGCACTGGATGACATGCTTTGATGCTTTGAATCAGCGAAGATGGAGGCTGTGGAAGGCCTTCCGGTTTAGTTGGTTTATGGAAAAAAAATCCGGAAAAAGACATTGAAGATCTTTACAAAGATACTGGCAACTATGAAATATAAGATAATCTTTCATGCAGCATCGTCGAGCCACAATGACCAAAGGGTCGAGAAATTGGCAGTCCAAAGTTTTGAGGATCTTCACTTGCGGGTCTACAGGCCATGACAGGTATATTGCTGAATCATGATGGTCAGTACAACGATGCAACCAACAAGGGATATGACGCTAATATGACACCACTTTCATATATTTCATAGAAGGTATGCCCATAAATCCACACGCTGTGCGTGAACTTGGCTATCGTTTGGGGGCCTCCCACAAGCATCCTTATGCATCGGCCTCACGTCACGTTTTACGTCACAATGATCACAATGAGAAGGGATTTCTGTTTGGGGAACCACCGAACATCTAAGACGGCATCATTTCAGCTACAAGGTGAGGCTTGCGACCTGCATCCCTCTGTTGTACCAATATGATGTTATAAGATGTTATAAGTTATAATGTGGGTACAACAATAATAAACCATAAATAGGTGATATGGTTACCATTCCCTAATGGGCGGTTTATTGTTTTACCCACATTACTCATGTTTTTTTCCTATGAAAAGATCCAAATTGTTTCCGGGGTGAATCGTCTCGTGTTCTTAGGCCGCCCCCGGTGCTTGAGACCGAGTTCATCGGCCTGGGTGAAGGCGAACATCACTGGTGATGTGGGGTGAACTGAATACAAGAATGAGTTTGAAGCATGTGTAAAGAACGTACCATTCCTGGGACGCACATCTAGGTCACCCCTATTTTGCTTCCTGTTACCTTGAGATAGGCTCCTAGAGTGAAATTCCATCAGGATTTTTCGGGGTTGGTTTGCTTATTTGAGAGGTGTTGGTAGATGAGGGAACTATATCCCACTGTATTCGTCTTTCGAACGGGGTTACAGCCCTCCAGTAATTATGACCGGAATAGTGAGTGACTAATGAGTGATACGGGGGTCATAAGCAGGGTACTAATGACTTGCTGAGTTCAGACATGCCCCAAGTAATCAATGTTCCATGAGTTGCGGAGTTGTAGAATGGGTTGTAAAAGGTTGAAATAGATTGCTCTTGGCAATACAGATCAAGGACCAAACCAGGTGTTCTGAGGGTGTTGTGTTTGTTTTCTTGAGGGAAGGAAGGGTGATGTTTGAACCGGACAGCCATGGCCATGTCAACCCCCGGCCAACCTTGGTTGAGTAACTAGAAGCTTACCCCCAAAAGTGGCTAAGATAACATAGAATATCAAAGAATGATTTTACGGCCCCAACCGCCCCAACCCCTTCAGTGAGGGGTCAACATCTAAAACAAGGTTGATTTGGTTCCAGGTGCATAGAAGTGTTCAAGAGTGGTGCAAACTGGACCTAAAAAAAATGACACAGATTGAGTATGCAAAGATTAAGTATGCTTATGCTTATATTAATTTTAAGGAATTTGGATATGTTTATATAATTTATATAATGAGATAGTTTCCTCTTGACAATCAACATGTATAATCATTAATATGTATTATATACTATAAGTAAGTATTTCTGGGGCGAGGAGTCGTCAACAAGGTCGCGAAGTGATGACCTTGATGAAACCCAAAATCCCTCCCAAAGAAGGGCTCAAGGATCGTCCCTTCCGACTCCATGGTGCGCAACATCCCTCCTACAGCATTCAACCAGCGGTCGCTTGGGGCCAAGGTGCCCCAGTGAGCCAAATCGCTCAGTGATGCGTTTTGAGTGATCCATGGGGCCATGGGGGCGAAAAAACCGACAAGCAAAACTAGGGGGCACCACCTTACCGGACGAAATTTGCTATTATAATATATATATATATAATATATGGCTACCATATATATATATATATATATGTATGTATATATATATAATAAATATATATGTCCCAGTATATTCCCGTGGATGCTGCGCCATGCTGCCCCTGCCTTCGTTCAACGGAGCCTGGGGGGCCGCCTTTGGCGACTTTTCGACGGAGCCTTGAGCGCGTGCGAAGTGAAGGAGGTGTCGAGCCCGTAGATCAACGGAGCCTGGAAGACCATGGATTTCCAATGGTTTACATATCTGTATATATAATATATACTGCCAAAAACATATACTGTATATATGATATATATATATTATATATATACGATATATATATGATATATATATATTATATATATATGATATATATATATTATATATATATATATGATATATATATATATTATTACTATATATATATATGATATATATATATATATGATATATATATATATGATATATATATATTATTACTATATATATATGATATATACTGTGTATATAATATATAGTATATATATAATATATAGTATATATATAGTATATATATAATATACTGTGTATATATAATATATACTGTATATATATATGTATATAATACTCTACTATTTATCATAGTGATATATGTATATATTTGATTTCTCCATGTGGGGGTATCCCAATTTATTGCATTTTTTTGAGAATTTTTGGACGAATGATGACACATCCATGGAGAAATTATTCATAGAGAAATTGGGTGTGGGTTATACTTGGGGTAGACAATGCATGGCCCGTTTTACTATTTAACTATCTATTCTAGTGGGTCTACAAATGTGAGCCATTCCTATGCGGGAGTCCCTATTTTCACTGACATTTGGTCCTGGAAACCCCAAGCTGGATCCAATTCTTAAGAAACTCATGACCTAAATGCGGGCAAACATGAGCAAAGATGTGCAAAGCCTGAGGTTCATGGAAACAACCATCTTTTGGCAAAGAAAACCATCCATTGCAGCGTACCGTTTTTTTCGTTCCATGGGGTGGGAGATTTTGTTTCTTATCTCAACCCTAAAAGAAACCATCATTGTGGTGTGGTTACTTTTTTGTGGGTTGGTAGATGTTATATCTTATGCAAATCCTCAAAGAAACATACTTGTGGTCCTATGGTTAATTGTTCCGTGGGGGGCGGGAGGTTTTTATGTAAATCCTAAAAGCCATCCTAATTGCCGTAAGATTCATTGTTCCACCGGGATTGGATATATAATATGTTCTGTAAATCCTGAAAGACGGTTTTCTTGCCAAACCGCAATGCAATGCTCATTTCGTCAACACAATAGATTCAATATATTTGTTTTGTTTGAGGTCGTTAGATACTCATTGGTTTTTATGATATGCTGTTCGTGGGCAAACCACGGGGTCTGTGCGTAACTATACTTATATCTACTGGTACCTTTTCTACCCTAGTTAGCCTACTTAAAAGCCAACGGAAACCTATCGTTCAGGGGCCGCCACCGAAGATTTACCACATAAACCAATCCACAAATGTTTCGCCTTGCAAAATGACGCAGGTTTTGTCAGGTGTTGCTGCCTCACCTTACTTTGGAAGAAATCGTAGTGGCGCCTTGGTCCTTTTTTTATGGAAGAAAGGAACTTTATAATCTTGATATGATAGGATGCACAAAAGTGAGGAATTACAAATTACAACCCATATTTATACATATGATATCATATGATCATCATCGTATGATATATACATATATATATATATGTAGCTATCATTGTAACATCCTCATTTCGGGTTGCACCAAATACGATGAACACCCATTCATTGCTGGTTAAATCCTCTAAATTAAACATGGAATCCAAGACTCGGGCAATATTCAATAATTAAATCATCTTCGGGACTATGTGTTTCAGGTTCCATGTTAAATTTAGAGGGTGTGAGCAACCCAGACAAGGATTTCATCCGGAGTAACATGAGGATATGACTAATTTAAACCAGCATTTTTTTGATTCAATCCAGCAAGCAAGGAATGTGACCCCACCAAGGACCTTTCAAACATTTCGATTTCATCCAGCACCAAGGTTCACTTCCCCAAGCGCTGGATTTTGCCCAACACACATGTTGCCAAGCCAAGCCCAAGAAGTGGGTTTAATCAGTTTAATCCATCCATGTCCAAGAAATCCATACCGAAGTCTTCCCTGGCTGTTGAACTGGGAAAATCAGGCGACGGAGGGTATCTTGGAGTTGAGTGTCACAGAAGTAACTCAGTCAAGACCTACTGCTTGCAGCTTTTTCATGTATGTATGTATACGTACAGTATATTATAAAAGTTTCCTACATACAGTATTTCCTCAGTCATTTTAGTTCAGTCATGAGACCCAGTACACCATTTCTCCCCGCTCCAGTCTCCAGTCATAGAATTCGAAGTTTATCGCTGGAGCTGCCATGGGTCCATGGGTGGAGCTGCGTTTTTTCGGTGAGGCCATGATTTCTATCACGGCACCGAGGGCTTCAGTTTGGTCTTCAGATCTGCTTGGCGCGCACAGGCAGCCCTTCAAAAGCGGGGATATAACCACAAAAATTGCGTTGTTTGATCTGGAGAAAGGGGGGATCTCTGTAAGAATCAACTACAATTAGGGTAACGGGTAGTTCAATATAATTTTATAACCTTTTGCCTGAAACCGGCGATATACCGGAACCCGGTATCATACCCTACTAACACTATAATGCAGGGTGTGTAGGATTAGCAATGAACAGCAACTCATTTTTTTTCTTCAATCTACTGAGATACTTTGCGTGTCTAGGTATTCTGGAAAAACACACATTTGTAAACTAGCTGGACATTTAAGTGCCCATAGAAATGGGTACAATACCAATACATGGGTTAATGCTCTAGATAGGAAGAACAGATGACACCCTAGACATTATATTAACTTATGTGAGGTTAAAGATCATTTTAAACATCCCAAAAAAATGTTCTATCCATATGGTGGGTCTAAAGGAAACACACGCTTGATACAACGACAACCTCCTGCTTACACATTGATTTGGGAGGTACCATGTTTGCTAAATCTTCGTTTTCCGCACCTATGCAATCAACAAGTGTTGATTAATCTGAAGCTAAAATCTTCATTTTTTGTGGCAGCCACATGTTGCAATCGTAGTTTCCTGCAATTTGTTTCTTCTCATGGCTTAGGTTTTCCATGGGTTTCCCTTGTGTGTGGTTCTGCGGCACGTCGGGGTCAAACAACCGCAACTTGTTGCTGGATACGCCGCTGAATGCAGGTGGAACAGCAGTTTCCCTATTTCCAGCATCTCTTTTCACAGACTTTGCATCCGGAATGCAACTGTACCTCGGATGGTGAGCTGGGGGAAGCAGGTACGGGATTGCCGGAGTGGCTACAGTTTTCCTGGCGTCTGAAGATGGGGATACCCTATAAATTCGCCAATTTCAATGGCCCAAATGGTGACGAACCAGGGGATTTGGGGGTCAGTGACCGTCGCCTATAAAATGGTGAGCAATGATGCATGACAGAGGGCTGATTTACACTTGAGTTTCCGACACATTTCTACCTGTAGGGTATGGTTTGCTTTTCTGGAGTCCGAATGATATTTATGCACTCCCTCTGGACTCCCTCTGAATGATCGATGGATTCCTTACAGATCATCAGCGCAACTATGCGCAACTCCTGTTATTCTATATTGTTCCTGGTTATGCAAATATATGTAGTTATATATGTATATCCTATTCTCAGACCAACCTCACATATCCGTGCCTGGACCGGTGTCCAATTGTCGTTGTGGCGTTCGCCGGTCTGACCAGGTTTCTACCTTACGGTCCTGTTTGCGCGCCGCGATGGTCAAAGATATCATACCGACGTTGCATGTCAGAATTCGGGGTGCGGTGGAAATCCGAATGTTCATCATATGTAGTTTATACCCTCTGGTTATTTAACATAGCCATGGTATAGATGGCCCATTTATAGATGGTTTACCTATGAAAAATGGTGTTTTTCCATGGCAAACTGTTAGTCATAACCAGATGGTATCTGCTTTATATCTGCTTTATATGTGGGTTATATGTTGTTGATTGGTCACATCATGTCACATCCCAGTTCCACAGCGACAACAAAAGGCTGGGACGACCTTAGGCCTGGTAAACCATGCTGAATGGTTGGTGAATGGTTGGGTAATTCTTTCTGTAGCCTTTTTGATAGAGGAATACCCTCTGGTAATTTAACATAGCCATGGAAAATCACCATTTTTGATGGGAAAATCCACTATAGATGGCCATTTTCAATAGCTATGTTAAATTACCAGAGGGTATCTTAATCATAGTCTCTGTATTCGTGATGTTAGTCATATGTGATCAGTTGGATTATAGGAAATTTATAGGAAAGTCTACAGTAAGACATATCACCCATTTTGATGAATCTTATTGTGTACTTACATCCCACCATCACTTCATTTACCTTAACTTTCAAATCTCTCGGTTGTGGGTGGCATGGAAAATGTTTGCTGGGGAAACCTGTGTTGGTTTTGTTTTGCCTCTTCCTATTTCCGGTGAAATACGTTGGGTTGCAAAATGTTGCAAACACGTTTTGGTCACAACTTTGCAAACGTATTTCAAATTATTATGTTTTATTAATGTGCTTAAACCGAGAACAAACCACCCATTTGGGAATGGTTTACACCAACTATTTATGGTGATTTTGGGCATGGTTTATTATTGTTTTACCCACATTATACAGTTTGCAACCTTCTCCCGAGTGTCGCCTAGTGTTGCAGTTATTATTTGGGGGCTTCCATCAATGGGGGTACCCCCCATAGCTGGATGGTTTATTTCATGGAAAAAAACCCCATTAAAATGGATGATGACTGGGGGTACCCCCATTTTAGGAAACCTCCACTTAGTTCATTTTATGGCACAGTTCTCCATTGCTCGATGAGCTGCTTAGTCATCCCAAAATTTCTCGAGTAGATGACTCCCCATGATCAATGTCTAGCCAGTGACAGGAGGTAAGTAGCTATGGGTATCCAATGGTATCCAATGGTATCCAATGGTATCCAATGGTATCCAATGGTATCCCTAAATGGGACGCCAAGTAGCTACTAATTGTCTCCCCAAATAATCAAGTATGCTCGAATTCCCCATTTTTGATCCAGTTATGGCCCTAAAAACCAGTCATGGGTCAGTTATAACACCATTGAATGATAAGTCCATTTAGAACTCGTTAGAATTGGTAAAGGGCTGTAACTATTTCATGGTTGCCATTTACTATTCATTCCTACCAGGTTACCAGGCACCTACTACAGTTGACTACATTTTCCTATAGTAAATTCCTCATTTTCATTACTATATCATGGATGCGAAAATCTTCTCCCCGAGACTTGGAGTTTTTCAACTCCAGGACTTCTTTGAGAGCTATGGACGGAAAGCGCCCCGTCCCAGCGATCTTGTCTCTGTGGTGTACTGTACGCCTGAGGTGCCCGATGCACATGGGGGAAGCAGAGCATGGAGCTGGTGATTTTCGTGTTTTCAACAGATGGGATTTTTGGGGAAAACCTTGGGATTTGACGCAAAACCAGTGGGATGATCTGGGATTTCGAATTCGAAAACTGCGAACACTTTGGGATTTCCAAACAGATTCGTGTGGCTTAGCCACAACACATGTAGACTTAACCCATGAGGATCTGGTGGTCGATCACCGCTTGAAACCTGAATTGCCACCGAAAAAATTGCCATTGCTTTTTTAGGAAGGGGTAAGATCAACATCTTTCGTTGTTTCTTCAACTTCTAGTAAAGGGTTTGCTTGAATGAAGCCCAGTTTTTTTTGGGGGGTTGCAAACTACCTCAGCCATATTTATATATACAGATTCCAGCCTTTTGCTTGTCAATGCCCAGTTTTTGTGGGTCAATTCATGGGGTCCGAAAAAGTGAGACTCGAAATGACCGGTGAAGTGGGCCAAATCTGAGGTTGTCGATTTCGAGCCAAAGCCCCAAATAGATAGACAACTTTGAGGTTACCCTCTGGTAAACTAACATAGCTATGGAAAATCACCATTTTTAATGGGAAAACTCACTATAAATGGCCATTTTCAATAGCTATGTTAAATTACCAGAGGGTATCAGGTGAACATCATCATTTCATATCATTTCTCTATTTTACTGTACAGAAAACCCACAGGCGCCACTGAGATGAAGGTATGTCTATTTCTTTAATGGTTACTACCCGACGCACATAAGAAGATCTTGTATAGTTCCATATGAGTTCAATGATTGCCCAAGCTCAGTTGGCTAATTTGAACTAGTTCTCCCCAAGTTCAGCAATTCAAGCTTAGATTTCCACAACATATTTATTTCCTTCATATTCAGCCTCAACCAATCCATTGTTCATTGCCTCAGCCGATTCTAATGGATCAAATCCTGTCCAGTGATCCCAAAAAGCTCCAGGCCATTGAGGGTGGCGAGTTGCTGCTTCTGAATGTGGATGCATCTTCCCCTCCCATCCACCGTGGACGTGAACCACCCGAGACGGCACGCAAGCAGAGCGGGGATTTTTGGGTGATGGCAACGGCGGATTTTGAAGCACTGGCTTGTTTACACTCTGGTGAACTTACAAAAAGCTATGGAAAATCCACCATGCTATTAATGGGAAAATCCACTATTTCTATGGCCATTTTCAATTGCTATGTTAGTTCACCAGAGGGTAGTTGATTTTAGAATATTTTGGGTGATTTTACTTTGGTCGTTTATTTCATATTATCCCAGCCATCCATTTGAAGTAGCATCATCCAGCCCAGCATCCAACGTTTATGGGTCACCAATCCATGAAGAGCAATCGGGCGCTGGAACGCCAGGCGTTTATGGTGGGTATTTGATCTTGACCGGCTGGGTTTTTGCCTTTTGAATCCTTTTGAGGGATGACAGGACGAGCATTGGCTGTACAGTTTTTGAACCACAATGATTTTTTTTTGGATGGGTAGTAAAAAACCACCAAGGGATTAAAGTGTTTCTTGTTGCAATCCCATTGGATTAATATTATATTATCATATCATTTTTATCATAATCCAATATATACAGTATATATATATATTGATATTGATTATAATATCATTTTTATCATCAGATGCATACTTTTGAAGCCACCAGCCGCCAAAGACATAGTTCGGCAAGGATTTCTTGGGGGTATTTTTTCAAGGTCTTGGAGGTGATGTGGCCATGGCGGCCATGGGTCAAACTCCGATCAGAAAATTTTGGTTCAGACCATAATGTCTGGGATTTATGGATGTTTTGTTCCCCTGCAGATATGGTAACAGATGACATTTCAAGGTATTTCAAAGAGTGCTTGTTGTTTGAACAATCAATTCTACTGGTGAACTCTTGTTGATTGCAATCACAATTGTCTGGTTGGTTTAGCGGAACATGATGATTACTCGTTTACCCAGTTACATCTGTTTAAAAAAAAAGAACTATAGAGATCCTAGCAACTATCAACCTCCACAACTGGGCACCATTTTGTTTTGCTGGTTGATTCCCCAATTGATGTGGCTTGAACTCCACATTTTACCGGTTACATCCAGATCTTTGTTCATGAAAACCCCGGCTTTTACTTCTCAATGATGTTGTAATTTGTTGTAAATCCCCACATATTGATACATATTGCACTTGTTATGATAGTCATTCTCATTTCCATTCATTTCACCTATTGAGAATTGCACCTATTGATATTCATTTCCATTTCTCATATGGGTCACTGATTCACCTATTGTAGTGGCAACAAAATCCACCGCGTTGATTTCAGCAGATCCTGGCGCAGCTGGCGCCCAGCTGTGGCCGCCTGGTGCACTTCGACGGCCGGCTGCTGCACGGCGTAGCGCCCTGGAGACCGGCGCAGAATGGCGATGCGCACGGCGTAGCGCAACGGGTGAGCGTCGTGCAGCGAGGCGGCAGGTGAAAATCCATGAAAATCACGGGAGATTCGATGTGAGGGGTCTGAATGTATCTGGATATGTCTGGATATATGTTTGGTAGTGAAAAAAGCTAGTTTCTGAAAATGTTCAACCATAGTTGTTTGGGATGATGTCAGCATTTTTTTCGGGAACTTTCTGAAGGGTTTGCCTGGAATATTCATCTATAAATATAGGGCTTAACCAATCAACAATGGATACATAGGGGATGCACTGCTGGGATATTTCATGGGTCTATGATATATTTCATGTCAAGCCTGGATTAATAAACCCCTAATTAGATTGTTTAATTGGGGGGTACCATAAAAAAGTATTGGATTGTGACTATTGGAGGAGTGCCCCCCTAATTAATAAACCATGGTTTATTAATCCGGGGTTGACATTATGTTGAGGTTGGTGGTATCACATTTTTTTTCATCGAACATAGAACTGGGATGACGATCCCGATGATCCTAATCCGATAATAGATATTCAACTTATTCCACCAGGCTGGATGATGAAACATCATGAAGCATCTAAACCAACAATGACCTCACAACCACCAGGGTGAACCAGCCCAACAAGGTGTTTGTGTTTGTGTTTTTTTTTTTTTCCAATCTTGGAGTTATAGTAACTTGTCCAGAAATATGAAGATTTAGTTCAAGCGAAAGCAGCATAATGGGGTCAAAGCAAAAATGGGGGGTTTCACCAGCAAAACCTGCAATTAACGCTATAAATCATCTGGTGGTTTGTTGATGTTGGTGCGATTCAACTGAAGTTGGTGAATTCGTGCTTTTGGTTTGGGCCTTTTCCAGAATTTTTTGACTCAGACCTTAGAAACCGTTGCCGTTGCGGTTGCGGTTGATGTTCCAAGGGGATTCAGGGGACGATGATCCCACTTGAATCATGCCTGGTTTGACACCAGCAAAGTAAATGGGCTTGGACATAGCCCTGGGGAACCAAGACACAGGCAATAAAACACCACTTAAAATCTTGCACAATCTCCACAAGAAAGAGATAACAATCAGTAGCTTCATGTTCCGCTTATAATCAAATGCAAAGAACTTTCCCTCTGGTAAACTAACATAGCTGTAGAAATCATCATGTTTAATAGCTAGGGAAGTCATCAATGGGCCGTGGCTTCCGTAGGGACTGATCAACACAATTTGCCCATCTAGCTGGGTAGCTTTTGATGCAAGGCACAGCTTGGAGCTGTTTACGGCGGGGATCATCATTGTAAGTGAACCCCAGTTGTTACATTGTGTGTTCCAGAAACACTAGGTAATGCTTCACCCCAAGTTGTTTTTTGCTCAATCCTCACATGGATCATGTTTTGAACATCCCTTGGGGGCACACGACGATCTAACCTGAGGATTGAGCAAGCGAAGCTCTCGCGGATCATCGAACCTTTGCTACCAGAGTTTTTCCGCTGTGCCAACAGTGGACCATTTGGACATATTCGGACCATTAAAAACCACTCTTAATTTGACATTGCTTGGCCACATTGTCATGATATGTCATGATCTTGGCTCTTAAACGAGATCTTATATGGGGATGGGTCAAAACCTTGTACCCCTGGTGAACCTCAAAATAGCTGGTAAATGGATGTTCATCCCCCTAAAAATGGTATTAATAGGTATTGATCCATAGCCATATGATCTTATGTAGTTGTATTTGGCAATGGATCAGAATCCTGGTGCTTTTCAGGCCCGCCGGGTGCCGAGCTTCAGCGTCTTTTGTCAGCGGCGTCATCGTGAAATCTCCCTGGCGGTTTGAGGTTGGATCCGTGTGAAAAGAGTCATGTGGCCATGAGTAAATTATTGAGCCCTGAAATGGACGGTTTTATTCGTGCCATACATGAATATTACATTACATAATTAACATTACAAATTTTGTAGGTCTAGCGTTCCCATTGGTACCTCATTTTGCACAATGTGGGTAGAGTTTTTTGTGGCCCCGTGGAACGAGTGAAGACACTGAAATTATGGAAGAAGGGCTGCTGGACTGCTGGATGTCAATGAACTTTGAATGTGTGTAAGCCAGTATAAGCCAGTGTAAGCCTGAAGAATTGAACGATTCATTTGACATTTCACAAATTTTGGAGTATTATGGAAGCAATGAACAGATGAACAGATCCAGTACTAAATCATGTACTAAATCATGTACTAAATCATGTACTAAATCATGTACTAAACCATGTACTAAATCATGTACTAAATCATGTACTAAATCATGTACTAAATCATGTACCAAATCATGTACTAAATCATGTACTAAATCATGTACTAAATCATGTACTAAATCATGTACTAAATCATGTACTAAATCATGTACTAAATCATGTACTAAATCATGTACTAAATCATGTACTAAATCATGTACTAAATCATGTACTAAATCATGTACTAAATCATGTACTAATCATGTACTAAATCATGTACTAAAAATCATGTACTAAATCATGTACTAAAATCATGTACTAAATCATGTACTAAATCATGTACTAAATCATGTACTAAATCATGTACTAAATCATGTACTAAATCATGTACTAAATCATGTTACTAGATGTACTAGATATGTACTAGATCATGTACTAGATCATGTACTTAAATCATGTACTAAATCATGTACTATCTAAATCATGTACTAAATCATGTACTAAATCATGTACTAAAATCATGTACTAAATCTACAAATCATGTACTAAATCTAAATCATGTACTAAATCATGTACTAAATCATGTACTAAATCATGTACTAAATCATGTACTAAATCATGTACTAAATCATGTACTAAATCATGTACTAAATCATGTACTAAATCATGTACTAAATCATGTACTAAATCATCCCGTCGCGCCGTTTTCCGTACGTGCGTTTTGCACAATTTCATTATCATCAGGTCCACTTCAAGTGTATTTCGTTTGTATTTCGTGTGGGAAAAATGAAGTATTTTTGTGTAGCATGCACAAAATGATGTGGAATTTGGCTGGTGTTTTTGAAAAAAAACAAATTTCGCTTGTGTTTTCATCCAATTTTGTCCGAGAATTATGTGAAATTTAACATCGTTTGGAATAGGCTCTGCCCGCATAACATGTGTCATCGCATCAAAATGGGAAAGACAGAACGTGGCCTGCGTGGTATATTCATCATCATTTTTGTCCAAAAAATGTCGAAATCAGTGCGCATTTAGAGTGGTTTTACTTTTTTTTTCCGTCTCGCTGTGGTGCCGTACAAGTTTTTTTTGAAAATGTTGTTTTCCCAATGACACCTATCAGAACACAGACTGCGCACTTTGTTTTCTTCTTCACTTTCGAAGCAAGTTGAGCTGGTGGATTGTCTTCGTGCGAATTAGAGTGGGGCGATTGATATACCTCCATTGGAACGCGCGCAAGTAAACCTCAATCAATTCTGATTGGCTTCCTAGCTGTTTTGGAATGAATGCTTTGCAGCCACTCCAAACTTGGTCAATTGTTCCGGTATGTACTTGAATGACCTCTCGTCCTCGTCTCAGTTCACCAGTAAACTGGCCAGCTGAATGGTTCACCACACCATGAAGAAGGTTCAAGGTTGAGGACATTCTTTTGTAGCAACGAGCACCATCAGTAAGAAGAACGGAGCGACGACGATCAGTTGTGGGAACAACAACTTCACAAGCTCCACTTTCTTCGATTATCCCCCAACTCTCCGGGGGAGGTTTTCCTCCACGTTTCACTCGGGCGTGGCCCAGATCCCACAGACAAAGCTTTCTAAGCGCCTGGAACGGAAGCGGTGACATCTTATGTGAAAAACCAATGGATCATGTACGAAGTACAAGGTACGTTAACATCCCCCACCCCCCCACCCCACCCCATCAGCAGCGTAGCAACATGTGACGTAGTAAACGATCCCAGAGATCTCAGCAGCGTAGCAATGGATCATGTACGAAGTACAAGGTACGTTAACATCCCCCACCCCCCCCACCCCACCCCATCAGCAGCGTAGCAACATGTAACGTAGTAAACGATCCCAGAGATCTCAGCAGCGTAGCAAAGGATCATGTACGAAGTACAAGGTACGTGAACATCCCCCACCCCCCCACCCCACCCCATCAGCAGCGTAGCAACATGTAACGTAGTAAACGATCCCAGAGATCTCAGCAGCGTAGCAATGGATCATGTACGAAGTACAAGGTACGTGAACATCCCCCAACCCCCCACCCCACCCCATCAGCATCGTAGCAACATGTAACGTAGTAAACGATCCCAGAGATCTCAGCAGCGTAGCAATGGATCATGTACGAAGTACAAGGTACGTGAACATCCCCCACCCCCCCACCCCACCCCATCAGCAGCGTAGCAACATGTAACGTAGTAAACGATCCCAGAGATCTCAGCAGCGTAGCAAAGGATCATGCACGAAGTACAAGGTACGTTAACATCCCCCTCCCCCCCACCCCACCCCATCAGCAGCGTAGCAACATGTGACGTAGTAAACGATCCCAGAGATCTCAGCAGCGTAGCAATGGATCATGTACGAAGTACAAGGTACGTGAACATCCCCAACCCCCCCACCCCACCCCAACATAGCGATATTCAAAAATGTGCGTTTTACTCGTACGGTTTTCGGGGCGTAAGCTAAATCATGTACTAAATCATGTACTAAATCATGTACTAAATCATGTACTAAATCATGTACTAAATCATGTACTAATCCTAAATCAGCTTTCTGAAGGCTTTTCGAAGAACTCATTTTTTTGCCCCTGCAGATCCGTCACATCGCAGGATCCATCGCAGGGCTTCGGCCGCGGATCCACTGTGGCTGGCTGGAAAATCCTCAAAGCACATGAAGGTTGTATGGGACAATCATCTGTAAAGTCTGTAAAATGCAGGTTTTTCATGGTTTTTTCCATTGCCATTGGGTTCAACAAATGCAAGAACACACATCAAGTCCATTCAAATAAGACTACAAAAACCATCTCCAATGGGTTGCTAGCCAGAGCGATGGCACTGTGAATGTCTATTCGTGCTGGAAGATGCGGTTTCCTATTTTTTTGTGCCCGCTTTTTGGTTTCATGTTAGATATATACATATTAATTATACATATATAATGATACACATATATATATATATACATACATACACAGGAGTACATATGTAGAGATAGAATACTCTGTGTATATGTATATATATGTATATGATTATATATCACATGTTATATTGCATGATATATATATATATATATTAAATTATTATCTAGATATATACTGGATACGTTTTTGCCTTTTCATAAATTCTTCGCACCCAAGTCCTTTCACTACATGGAGATATCTCAGTTGTGTCCCGGATTCATTTGTGTCTCGTGAACATGGATCCCCATTGTCACCAGGCAACCGCAAGCAGTGCTCCTGACGACATCTCACGACCGATACCTTGAGAACTTGAGAACTAGACGTCTGGGCACATTTCGGCCATTGTTTGAGCAAAAATTGCCAGTCGTGAGAGATGATGCGATGTGTTCGATTAGGCAGAGCGCAGGGATTTCGTTGCGTGACAATGATATATACTTGGAAATGCGATTGCTATTGCAAAACATGTGGGATATTAAGAATTTAAGAGGGGTCTATATATGGTGAATAGATTGATATAACATGATATAACATAATATAGATAGGTGTATTTGAGTTCCCTGGCGCAGTCAATTGACGTGGTATGACATATTTTACGTTTTCTGCCCAAAAATAATCAGGACCCAAGTTTGATCATGAAGCTCTATAAGCTCTGCTCAACTGCAACTTCCTGGTGAAATCTGGAAAATCCCTATGATTTGTAGATGATCTTCACTTTTTTTCTGGTGCCAAACATGCCAGTGACATGGCCTGCTGGAATCCAGCCCTCACAAGCGATGATCTATGGCGATGGAGTCGCCAGGGATGATGCCAGTGGTCTGGTTCTTGATAGATTAAAACCTACCCTCGGGTAAACTAACATAGCTATGGAAAATCACCATTTTTAATAGGTAAACCCAGGTAAACCATCTATAAATGGGCCATCTATACCATGGCTATGTTAAATAACCAGAGGGTATATCTATCTATCTATGGCCATTGATGGCTGAGAAAGTCATCGAAGTAACTCCGATTTCTATCAGATTTCGATCAATGGCTGACTGCATCGCAAGGGGATTTCCCACGATTTGCCCTGGCAATGATGACGTCGCGGAGTCGCCGGGAGAATTGCCAGATTTGCCCGGGAGAAAAGATGGAGTCGCCAGGGATGATGCTGCCGTAGGTGCGGTAAACATAGTCTGAAACATCATCTGACAATGGTCTGGTTCTTGAGATCTACCAGAATCTACCACAATTTGGGGATGGATTAAAACCTATTATATCTACCTATCTATCCATCTACCTATGTATCTATCTACCTATCTACCTATCTACCTATCTACCTACCTACCTACCTATCTATCTATCTATCTATCTATCTATCTATCTATCTATCTATCTATCTTTTTTTGTGGCTACGGCCTTTTGGGACTAAATGTCGCGGCGAGCTTGATGAATTCAAGAGCATCTATCTATCTATCTATCTACCTATCTATCTATCTATCTATCTATCTATCTATATATATGTATATGTATATAAATATATTATATTTCATGAAATTTGTTTGGTGGATAACCATCCAATTTGCCAGCTGATTTTATGCTGTGAAAACCCGAGGGTTTTTTATGGGTTCAGCGGACTCCAGAGGGCACGACAACACCAGGGCCATTTTGGTACCTGAGAGGTGGCCATTTTGGATGATTGATGTACCATCTGGTTATTTAACATAGCCATGGTATAGATGGCCCATTTATAGATGGTTTTACCTGGGTTTACCTATTAAAAATGGTGATTTTCCATGGCTATGTTAAATAACCAGAGTGTATATTTTGCACATATGGCTTCTGAACGTCAATGGATATGGCTATTTTTGGATTAGACATTTTTGTTTCATTTTGATGATGAAAAAAGTGGAGATAGTAGCGGTATTTCACTATGCTGTAACCAGTGTACTACATCCGGGCGCCAGGGCCGGATGTGCCTCCGTATCTGCGCTTCGTTGGGTCCATTTCGACCAAGTGTGGAAGCTCGGTGCCGGGAGCGGAACCGGGACCTGCACAGGGACGCTGTAAGTAGGGTGTAGCTAACGGAAGTAGGGTCAGTCCAGTTATAGGGTTCGAATCCAACTGTATAGGTTACTATATGTTATTATAACATATTGAAATTAGACATATTTAGTTCTAATTAGGGTTATTTTCTAGTTGGAATCCATTTCCTAGAGATATCTACAGATACAGGGGGTATTAATCCAATTTCCAGTTTAATTATGAATTGGTTTAATGGTTTCAAACGTTGTTTATGCCAGCCAGATCCCAGCTTGGGGGTCATTATTGGGCATGCAACCGTGGTTGGTTGCAGGGAATGGTTTATTTTCTTGGATTTTCCCACATTTTCCCACATTTATGAATGGTTTATGATTGGATTTTCCCACATTTTCCATGGGATACAAAACGAGACAATTCCAGGGGTTGGCATTTTTTGAACCTAGCCGTACCTGGTTTTTTCAAAGATATATAGCACCGGTAAAATCCCTGGAGAAACAGTGGCTATCAGATAGCAATGGATTTTCTCCCTGGTTTTTACAGTCATTGGATTGGTTTAAGGGACAATTTACAGGAAAACCCTATTTAATGGTAAAAACCATGGTTTCCTGTAGATTTTCCCTTAAACCAATCCAATGATACAGATGATTTTCAAATTAAGACCTCCATTTGCAATAGATTTCCCTTTTCACTTTACGGGGTGTTTGGCCAAGAGATGAATTTCAGGGGCTGACCCGTGGCAGACAGGAACATTCACAGTGACAGTGACATGGTAGTTGTTATGTTGGGAATTTGAAACCAATAGAACATTTTTGTGGTACCAGATTTGGATAGAATTTGACTGTGACCTACTAGATTATTGAGGCGAGGTAAGAAACTTTGGGGAGAAATTCAGCGGGCACTCCATCAAACTCGCTCACTTCTGGGGATTTGAGTCATCCGGAGTGACACATTTCTGGTCCACAACTATCCATAGCAAAGTGGATAAGCTGCCTGTACAGTAGATCCCAGACACTATGATTTATCCAGTTTAAGGCCAGCGTGGACCCTGGGCTTCCGATCCAACTAGGGTGTTTCGGAGGCTTGTGGCTTCTCCAAAAACGCCCTTTCCCCCTCACACATCGCATCAACCCTACATCGCCCTTCGTAGTTTGGTGATCTGTTCATTTTAGGGTCTTCTGTTGGGGTGTAGGAATTCTAAGAGCTTCGCACCACTTTTGGGAAGCATTCAAAAGCATGGCTATAGCTCAATGAAATTACATATGACTTTCAAATTCCTCCCAATAATTTCCTCGAATCAGGACTGCTATTCACAAGTAGATCTGTTCATGTTTGCATGTTTTTCGTGTTTCCTTAAGATAACCTGCAGATTGTCCAGTATATATATATATATATACAGTATATATATATATATCTTCCCAATAAATTGCATGCATTTCCCATGTTTATCTTCCCATCCCGAGGCTACTGAGTACCGACTTGGTTCATAACATGTGTGAAGAGCTGTGGCTCAGCAAGACGCAGCACGTCCTGCAGGAGGAAATCAACTGTGGATTTTGTGTTTCCTAAAATAAAGGTACCCCAATAGCTGGATGGTTTATTTCATGGAAAATCCAATCTACAAATGGATGATGACTGGGCGTACCCCTATTATTGGAAACCACCATATATGGGGTGTGTTAATGTTAGTTTTCAGATGTGGATATCAGATGGAATATCATGGCAGAATGTTGGGGAATATAGGACATAACTATATATAACCAACAAACTTTGTGATGTAAGAATTAGAACCGGGGGAAATGGGGATTTGGAGAAATGGGGATATATCATGATATATCCAAACAAAAATATGCATCCACAAGAATGAGGCATATGAATATACCCTCTGGTAAACTAACATAGCTATTGAACATGGCCATAGAAATAGTGGATTTTCCCATTAAAAATGGTGATTTTCCATAGCTATGTTAAATTACCAGAGGGTAGCTTTATCAACCAATGAATCCGCCTATGGGGGTTTTCACGTGCTGGATCTGTTCAGTGTCGTATCAGCTCGGCTGATCGCGTGCTGAGCATTTGGGACGGGATGCCGCATGGCCTCAGGTCCAAATGGCTTGTGTTGGTGATTTTCCAATCTTATTGGTTGGGTTTATAATATATATATATATATTTGATATATGCAATATATATATATATATATATTGATATATATATACACATACACATTGCGGTATATATATATATATTGTGGTAAACCCGTAAACCCAAGAATAAATGAAATCCTGTAATTTCCACGTTGAACCATGTTTACTTTCAGTTGGTATTGAAGACGGCCTTATCATTAGGTTTATCACAGTTTTCCATTCTAATTCTATTGTTTGCTGGTTAAACCACCGTTTTTGTTGGTTCGACCACAATTTTCAATTATATTATTGGTTTTCTATTCAATTACCCATTGTGATAGAACTATTGGGGTTTCCAATATAATCCTCATCATGGTATTGGCCTTGAAATAATTCGAAAAGGATATGATTGGAGCACCAGGGTTGTATAGTTGATACAACATCAATATCGACCCGATAGTTGTAATTCTCCTTGCCGTATCCAACAGGGTGGAAGACAAATTGTTAACGAACAGTTGTCAGAGAAATGGATATGAATGTACTGTTGATATGTGCCAGAAAATAAGGCACTCCACCAACATCCTCCAATATGCTCCAATAAATCCTCCAGTAGATCCTCCAATAAATCTTCCAAACTCCTCCAGTAAATCCTCCAATAAATGCTGCAATATATGAATATCCCGCAAACTCCTCCAATAAATCCTCCAAATCTTCGAAAATCCCACTATTTCAGGTATGGGTCAAAATTCAAGACCTTGGGGGACCTCAGTTTTAAGTCTATTTCTACATATTTTTTACCATTAACCATACATATTTTGGGGGTACCCAATCTGGTTGGTGGTTTCAAACATTTGTTATTTTCCATTTCATATATGGGATGTCATCCTTCCCATTGACGAACTCCATCATTTTTCAAGATGGTTATTACACCACCAACCAGTCATTACTATTATACTATTATCCATCATTATCCATCATTAACCATCAAATTAACCATCAAATTAACCATCATTAACCATCAAATTAACCATCATTAACCAGCAATTTTGGTTCCCCGTACCGAAATGATCAATTTTAACCCGGTACCCAAATGATGATCTTTTCCAGGACTTCGTGGGACGACCACAGATGCCCTTGGACGTCTTCATCAATGAGAAGTTCCTGTCCGGAGCACAGACGGTGACCGCATAAAACGGTGTCACATGGTGAAGCCGCTGCGGCAGGGTAAAAAAGCAAGGATGGCTTGAAATTAGAGTGATCAGTTGTTTTTTGTTTTTTT